AAGTACATTATTTTTTATTAAATTTTAGTTTTGTACTCGTAGTTAGCAAAAATAGATAAATTACGCCAATCATGACTTTAGTTATTAGTAGTTAAATATTCAATCATGCAAAATTACACGAGTACTCCTCAATAGTTTCTTTTTGAAAGTTTTAGCAATCGGTAATATAATTACAGTGCAATCTCCGTAATTGGAGCTGATTGTTGCAAGAAGATGTTCGAATTATGGAATGTTTTCGGAAAAATCATAAAATATTTAATATACAGCTGCTGGATTTTCTGTATTATATAAATGACTTAATTTTGCCCACAGATGACTGATGCCATGTCCGAATCTAAAAAGAAATGTAGACAGTACAGTGTTGATTATTTGACATTTGGCTTCATTCCATCATTGCCGTACAAACAATCGCCTATGTGCCTTTTATGCAACAAAGTTTTGGGCAATGACGCTATGAAACCATCTAAACTGCAAGATCATCTGAGAAGATGCCACCCTGATAAAACAGAGAAAGATTTGGAATACTTTCAAACACTCAAAGATAAATTTCAGAAGAGACCTACACTGGACAGAATGTTCGCTTCGACGTCACAAAGAAATGATGATGGTTTGCGGGCGTCTTACAATATCTCGTTACTTATAGCAAAATCCGGAAAACGGCATACTATCGGAGAGAAGTTAATTTTGCCAGCCGTTGAAGAGGTTTTAAAAACTGTTTTACACAAACCTGCATCTGATATTATTAAAAGAATTCCCTTAAGCAACAATACTGTTGAAAGACGTATTGATGAAATGAGTTCTGATATTGAAAGCTTCTTATGTAATTATTTGCAAACGACCCATTTCTCTCTACAACTGGTCAGACACCTGTTTATTTAATGTTACGTATATTTTACATAACAGATACAAAATTTTATTTTGAGTAGTTTTAATTTAAATTAAATTAATAAATGTATAAATTAACATGTGTTTTTACTTTAAGTTTTAACACTAAACTTCACTACAGTTAGAAATTTACAGGAAATTAATATCAGGTAAGTAGGGGGTCTACCCAACACGGAAAAACATGGCAAGGGGTCTATGACACAAAAAAGTTTGGGAAATTCTGATTTAGACGTTTTATTTTTTAAATCAGTTGATTCGTTTCCAAGAAAATTATAAAAATCTTTATTTATCTTGATTTGTTCAAATAGGAATTAAAAACATACGAAAATGTCACTTTTTATTTCAATAAGTGTTCAAAATGTACATAAAGTACCAACATAAACAGCAATTCGGAAGATTAGACGTGGCAACAATTAAATAACAACCCGAATTTTTTTCCGCATTCTTTTTATCAACACAGGTATCCCGGGCCAACTGTATTTATTGTTATACCTGTTTAGTTATTTGTTGCTAAGCGAAAGAAAGAATTTAATCTACTGTCGGTTACCTTTATGACCATCTTGGGATAGTGAAATTAATTTATTGATTCAGATTTTACTTCCAAAATGGTTTATACACTAGCCGAAACAGTGGAAATGATTCTAATTTATGTCAGTCATCCGGGGAAGTTAACTTAGCATATGTATGTTTTGGACCTTGTTAGTAAATCTACTCAAACTGGATCGGCGCTCCTCATTGTTTTTCCGGTTCGGCAATGGCTAGACGACGAGTTTCCAGATAAATGTAAATAAAGGGCGAAGTGGGCCTATGGAACGCCTAGATCTCCTGATTTGACGCCATTTGAAATCTATTGTGTTTATTCCCCAACCCGAAGGTTTGGATCAACTGCATCAACGCATCATAGAAAGCTGCTATGATATCCCACATGTTTTTGAAAATGTCCGTCAGGGATTTGAATATCGCTTATATCATTGTTTGGACAATAACGGGCAAAACTTTCAAACACTTATTGAAATAAAAAGTGATATTTTCGTGTGTTTTTGACAAATTAAGATAAATAATTTTTTTCTAATTTTCTTGAAAACGAATCTACCTCTTGCCATTTAAAATTTTTAAGGGGGTGGCCCTGGAGGGCAGAAGCTGAAAAGGGCTGAAGTCGTGTTAAAAAGTTATCCCCCTTGACAAATCTTTTGATATGTCTCGGCGTTTTTTTCTTTTAATCAGCGCTTTTCGGTAAATGTGATGGGAAGTGCTCAAATGAGTTACCAAAGTTGTCATTTCATATCATAAATACTAAAAAGTGAAAAATAAATGAATACATTTTTAAGCTTTTATTTACCTGTTCATAAAATGAACAAAAATTAAAAAAAAAATTGGATAGCTAAGTAAAAGCTTGTTTTTAAATATGTATTTTATGTAAACGTGTTTTCTTAAATATTTCTTATTAAATATGTATATATAGTTTATTTTTTACTGTTCAGTATGATGCCAACTTTCATATATTTTATTAATATGAATCCATAAAACTCCTTACTTTATTTGTATTTCAAATTTCGGTAGATCTAAACCGTATATATGTATTTCAGAACAACGTTATTTGTTCATCGTGATTCTCTCATTAAACCCTTCCATTATAGTTATTCCGCTACCTAAGTGTTCTGACCCTACTAACTATGGTCAACTGAGACCGATCAGTCTACTGCCAATTTTTTCTAAAGTATTGGAACGCGCTGTTTACGAGCAGCTCTGCGCCTACTTATATTGTAACAAAATTATTCCATCTAAACAATCTGGATTTCGACAAGGTCATAATACAGCTTCGGCACTCTGTGATTTAACAGACAATATAACAATGGCACCTGATAACCAAAAAGCAGTAGCTCTCATACTTCTTGACTTTACTAAAGCATTTGACACCATTAATCACTCACTTCTTGTATCTAAATGCAGTTACTATGGATTTTCTGAAAAACCTCTTTCGTTTATTCAAACCTACCTTGAAAATCGGTATCAAAAAGTTCGTCTAAATCAACAGTACTCTACGGAACAAAAAATTTGTTCTGGTGTACCACAGGGATCAGTCTTAGGACCGCTATTATTTTCATTATATATCTCAGATTTAGAAACAGAGGTAAAATCATGCAGCATACAATTTTTTGCAGATGATACTCAAATTTTCTATTCATTTAGGAGTAATGACTTGCAAACGGCAAATAATAAAATTAATCAAGATCTTGTCCAAATTGAAAAGTTCAGTAGTAGTCATAATCTTCGTTTGAACCCTTTGAAGACAAATATGTTAGTATACGCAAATAGAACAAAAAAGAATACCTTTAAAAAGGACATAGACATACATTTCAAAGGTAATAAATTAATTCCTGTGGATCATTCGAAAAACCTGGGTATTATAATGGATGATGACTTAAAATTTGTTGCACACGTGAACTATCTAATTACTCAGTGCTACGCTATTCTCAGAGTTTTATTTGCAAATAAGTCTATATTACATAAATCTGCGAGAAAGCAATTGTGTGAATATTTCGTATTTTCGAAGATATCGTATTGCTTAGTGGTTTACTATCCCTATTTAGATATTATAACAAGAAATCGTCTTCAAAGTATTATGAATACATGTTGCAGGCTTGTAAATGATCTCAGAAAATATGATCATATATCGAATGCCATTAATGAACTCAAATGGATGAAAATTGATAAAATGTATAAGTACCAGCTCCTAAATCTGACTCATAAGGTCTTTATTCAAAAACACCGTCATATTTAGTAAACAAATTCATCCGTAGAGGGAATATGCATCGTATTAGTATTAGATATAGAGAGACTTTTTCAATTCCACGCCACAGCACTTCTCTATTTCAGAATTCATACATTTACAATGCGATCAAATTATATAATTCTTTAGACCGCAGTTTAAAAGAGACCAATCCATTATCCAAATTCAAGAAAAAAGTGAAAGAAGTTCTTCTTGATCAGCAGCGAAATCGGTTGTAACCCATAAGTGTCCTCATATTTTCCTTATGTATTTACTTGGATTATTTCATTATTGTATACAGGTGCCTATTAATTTTCAACAATTCTTTTTTTTTTACATCTCATATTGTTAAGGGGGTTAGATGGTAGAATAGATATATAATCTAAATCTCGCCTCCTGTAAGAATATTACAAATAAAAGACGTTAATTATTATTATTATTATTATTATTATTATTATTATTTGACATTGTCACCCATATCATAACGGTTAACCATGGAAATTATAAATCGTCATTCAGCAGCGGTCGGCATATTGGATACTGGAATGACGTCACAAGCATAATAATGTTTCCCTCGTCCTTTTGATTTGTTAATTTTCCACTAAAATGATCTTTCTGCCATATTGGATTCAGAATGATGTCGCGTTGACTTGTTATGTTTATCTCATTAAGCTCTTGCGAAGGTCGCCATATTGGATTTAGAATGAGTCCACGTTGCTTATTGCGTTTATCTCATCAAACCCTTTTATTTGATACTCATATCATAGGAGTGTCTGTAAAAAAATGTAAATGACGTCACGCTGCTCATTGCATTTCTCTCATCAAGCCCTTTCATTTGATAACCATATCATAAGGGTTGCTACGAAGATGATCAATCGGCATTTTGTGACATCCGCCGGATTCAAAATGGCGACGGTGGATTCATTTTGTATTGTCATGCAATCCAAACGGGTGTACAAAATTTCAGATGAATTGGTTCAAGTCAACTGGTTCAAAATTCAGTTCCAACATTTGTACCACACATACTAACATACATACGTATACAGGGTGCGGCAGAGAGGACGGACGTTTACACACTTGACTGTCTCAAATGCTATTTCCTTGTGAACCTGATTCCATCAATAAACTTGTTTTCGAGTAAAAATTAACTATCCTATGATTTTTTTAAAACCGTCCATCCTCTCTGCCGCACCCTGTACTAACAAACATGTCAAGTGGAACAAAAACTTGGACCCCGCAGGTTATAAATGTGACTATTATGTTTTAGTTGCTACAGAAGCAATGCGGATAGAGGTAGGCCGCATCCAATCTCCGACCTACCAATAAGCTGGCGCCGTTCAAGTTCATGTTCGGCAGGATGTCGAAGTCGAACTCCTCGACGAGGAGCAATTCGATAGAGACGACTGCCGAGGGAGACCAAGACGCCGAGCCTCCCAGGGGCTGCGGCGTGCCCGAGAGCATCATGGAGGGGTCCGACGGGGACTTCGTACCTAACAGTCCACCGCCTTCCTATGAATGCGTTCTCGAAGAGGTAAGACACATTTTGCCATTCAGGTCAAAAGATAAATTGCAACTTTGAAGAAAACGAATTTAACACCATCAATCATGGATTGTTGTGTTCATTGCCCTTCACTCCGCCGCCACTGATCCGATTTCCAAAAACTACAAAGCTTCTTCGTTCTTGGAGGCGCAGTTACCTTGTGTGGAAATGTCATCAAAATCCGGGCGGTTCTTTTCAAGTTATGGGCCAAGGTTTAGCGTATAGTCAGATAGACCGACAAACAGACAGACAGAGCGACCGACGGACGCCAGTGGCGTCAAGATATCAAAAAAAAGTAATCCACGATTCATATTTCTTAATTTTGAATTATTGATTTCCAGACTAGACAAAGATCCCAACACGATAGTTCCTCGCCAACAGAACCGCCTAAGTGTCCGGCCATAATGCATAAATCAAGTAAGGAACTCTACAAAGCTGTGGCCAAACAATTCGGAATTACATGTAAAATGTCGGACCAATGCAGGTAAGATATCCTGAAAATCATCACATACTTCGCAATGCACATAAAGCTGCAAATTTTGCTGATATTTTTACACCATAATGGCTCAAAGATACTATGTTTTAAAAGTCTTGTGACAAATAGCGCCATCTGTTGGTCGAGTCTCCTACTCGCCAGAGCTTAATTGCCGATCTCTGCTTTTACGCGAACCACGGCGGCGTCTGTGAGGACCGTGACAGTGGGTCGCCTTCTAGATCGACGCGAAGTGATCTCCAACATTCTAGATGTCGCTTTGTGGTACACCCGGTCTTTTCTCGAAGCGGTAATTGGCACTGTTAAACGCACCCACCAGAAGATCAAAACAGTACTTCCAGCTCATCTAGTGAATGGCGCTTCAACTCATCATCCGATTGCTAGTACCAGGCAGTTACCCTACATTACCGACCGTGCGGGAGTCTACAGGTTTTTGTTACCAACCACGGAGGCAAGTCGCAATTCTTATGATGGTGCCACAAAAGACAGACATTATTAGAAAAGTATTGTAATCTACATTGCTGTTATAAACCTTCGTAAACCGAAGCACGTCTATACTATAACTATCTAAAACTGTAATGACTCATCGATGTTCACGTGAACATCACTTAACTACCAGTAGTCGGCTGTTCATAGGCGGGGTATGAATGTTTAACATGGGTGAACTAGATTTGTCACATGCTTAATAAAGAGTGGTTTAAAACATATTGTAAGTCAAAAATTTGGGAATTACCTTTATTCATCGTCGCTTCCACTTACATCTGACAGTAATAAACTGTCGCTATCGCTTTCCTCGTTGAAATTGACTATAACTGGTTCTATGATGGTGTCGATGTGGTGGTCAAGCTGCCACATTTTTGTTTCTTCCTTCACAACATGACGGATAACATTCTGCCAAGCTTCGGGCGTTACTAGCTGTATGGAAGTCTCTAGTAAAACCTTAACGTCTGGTAATTTGAAGGTTATGTTATGGCGCGCAATATAACCCTTCACTTGAGCCCAGATGAGCTCTATTGGGTTCAGTTCACAGTGGTAGGGTGGTATCCGCAGCACAGTGACACCACATTGACGGGCCATCTCATCAGTCTCGTAACTAATGTTCGCAGGTTTGTGCTGTTTAATTTTTTCATACAATTCCGCTTTCACACATGAATCGTCAACGGGATTCCTTTTTCGCGCAACCATTGCTGCATGTCACTTTTTCGAGATCCCATAGTCGGTACACGTTCGGCTCGACGACTATGGTAGGTAGCATTATCCATGACGATCACAGAGTTGGGCTCAACTCGCTGAAGCACCCCTTGAAACCAGCTCTCGAAGCAGCTGGCATTCATTTCGTCATGGTAATCACCTCCTTTCTTAGAGACGAAAATCAAGTCACACTCTTCTAAAAAGCCTCTATCGCTACCAATATGAGTTACGATCAATCTTTGACCTTTCCCTGACGGTCCACGAAGACCTGTTGACAAACCTTCAATGCTTGCTTGTCGGTTACTCACTACGTTTTTGTCTATCCAGGTTTTTTTAACTGTGTGACCTGCATTTACCCATGTCTCGTCCAAGTAATAGATTTTTCTGCTTTGTCGCCTATATTCAATCATTTCGCGTAGGTATTTCAGGTCTCTCTATCAATACTGACTTCCGATTACGCGTTTCGTAACGAACATTAATTTCGTGCAGGGATTTCCTCATTACCTCGACGCTCATTTGGGGTATAATTTCATTTTCCTTGATCGCTGCATGTACAGCCTTGAGGGTTGGTATCTCATTCCTAAAGAAGAATGAATGTACGGTTTGCCTTAACGCCATTTTGCTATCGTCATCCAATTTAACGGCCTTTCGTCCCTTCAAATTAAACCTTGGATCAGTAGTAGCTCCAGTTTTCTTCTTTTCATGCACCACCCTGCGAATGGTCCACTCTGGAACGCCTGTCATACTTTCACAACGCGCGAGTGCATCTCCCTGCGACATAGTTCTGTTCAGATAATTGAACACGTTGAGCACGATTTCTTTCGCGTCCCTCTTCAGTGCTTTACGAAGCCGTCTACTTGTTCCCTGGCTTTCAGTACTTCCACTCGCGCCATTTGTACTCTCCATGGTTAAGTATAACCAAAACAGTAACCACAGAAACCACAACAATAACAATCACACAACAATTCTTATAAAAACACACAATATGCGATCGCTCAACGAAACACGTTCCAATGCGTTGCCGACGCCTATGAGTCTGCCGGTCGAGGCGCGTCTTTGATTTCATTGGTTCTACCGGCGGAGAACAATCAGCCATTATTTCCATCTCTGTCTGTGCTGCTGACCACCGCAAAGCCACAGAAATGACATATGTCGTACGCTATACGGCTGTACTGGAAGGAAGCCGGGATCGAGCTCTGATCACGTGTTGATCACGCGTATGAGTCATTACAGTTTTAAATAGTCGTAGTATAGTTATTCCATCGGTAGACCCTCAGAGTGAGTGCTCTACAGGGACTATATATAACTCGGCGGCCGGGAGATGGAGGCAGAGTACGGAATACGGTAGAGTAGCAGAGCGGAGTGATGTATAGTGCAGTCAATGGTGGCATAAGAATTAGTCAGACATAAATAGTGGTGTGTGTATATAAATGTTTTATCAAGTCAAATAGATCAGTGCATTTCTTTTTGTGGAATCCAGTGTTTTAATCCACACCCAGAAGAACCCAGAAAAAAGTTACAGTCTAATAAATTATTTGAAGAAAAAACGAATTCGACAAAAACATAAAACTTGACTAACTCCCCAAAATTTATAGGCTAAAATTTCCGTATTCTGAAACAATGACAAACTGCAGGCAACGCTGTTTTGTGCTCATTAGCAACTCATCAGTGCGGCCTTAAATCTAGTTTTGGGAACAAACGCAACGGGAAGCAAACAAGTGGGTATGGTATTTTGATGCTCAACGCAGAACGTCGAGAAGTTATGGGATACAGAACGTAAGGGTCTTTCTACTCTCTTCATCGTACGTGAAGATGACGAAAATCAGCCTGGTATTTGAGGTGTTACAGATTCAAGGTCTTTTTTAGAAACTACAGGGTGGCCGATATGTAACTGACTTGTATCTTAAATATTTGTGAAATGAAATAAATTACGTCCATTTGTTTCATATTAATCTTTTATCGAAACTTTCGTATGAAAAATGATATCAGACAAATGACCGCCTCTAGAAGCAAACATGAGCCCTCTTGATTACATGTTCCATCCCTTTTTGGCAGGTTTCGGGAGGAACATTTTCAATCGCTTCCGTAATATTATTCTTCAGCTGCTCTACAGTATTTGGTTTGTCAATATTTTTCAAAAATTCCCATAAAAAAAGTCAGGAGCCGTTAAATGACCTTGGTGTATTGTTTGCAAAAGATTCATTGTTTCTCTAGCTGTGTGACAAGTTGCTCATTCGTGCTGGAACCACATGTTTTGCATGTTAAATTGTTGGACTTGAGGAGGCAGAAAGTTTTGCACCATATCACGATAGCGCTCGTCAGTGACAGTAAGAGAATTAGCTGCAGCGTCTTCGAAGAAGTAAGGTCCAATAACACCTCTATACCAAACACCGGACAAAACTGGGACTCGACGAGGATGTAGTGGCCGTTGATGGATGACAAGAAGGTTCTCTAATGCCCATATACGACCATTCTGCTTATTAACAAATCCCTTTATATCGAAATGGGCTTCATCGCTCATTATCAATTGTCGGTAAAAATCGTTATTTTGGGTATTAGGCTGCAATAATATAGATATTTTCAGTAGCAACATTAAGCACACTAAAAATCACATGAATAATGTTAATATTCAAATTTGGTTTGTGAGGTTTTAAATATAAGTAGGTTGGATATCACTTCTTTAGTTTAATAATATAAACGTAATGTTTTTTTATGTAATTGAAAACCGTAAATAAATAAATAAATGAGCTAATTATTTTCTATGGATGCAATACTATAATTATTTACCGTATTATCAAAATTTTGTAGAATTAAGAACAAAGTATTTCCTTTAGCGTCATTTAGGGGCCCTTACCTCCGTATAGCATTAAATATTTATTAAATATTTTTAAAAAATGTTTGTTAAATATTTGTAGCGACAGATTTTTTAATATTTAATAAATATATTTCTTATATATTTATAAAATATTCATTATAGATGTTTGTAGTATATATAATTCCATATTTTTGCGATATTTTTTCCAAATATACTAAGTGACATATAAATCCGAACACCCAGTTTAACTGGTTTTATTTTAATAAAATTTTGTATAAGTACTTAATGAAGCATAATAAGTAAATGATAAAAATTTCAAAATGATTGCACTGCTTTAAGATGGGGTTCTAGAACTTCGTGGATATAACGCTGCGCGTTCATGTTACATATGATGAAGATTAAAGGTGACCTGGAACCATAAGCTATAGCACCCCAAACCATAACTCCAACAGTGTGATGAACATGTCTTTCAACAAAAAACTGTGGATTCCTCCTTTCACCACGTCGCCTTCTAACCCTGGCACGACCATCGTGCATGCCTAAACAAAATCGAGACTCGTCACTAAAGACAATACTGTTCCATTCCTGATCGCAGAGTGACCGTTGTCTGCACCACTCAAGGCGATTACGTCGGTGTTCTCGAGTTAAAGGGAGGACCCAGTGTGGCCGGTATGAAAACAAGCCAAAACTTCTCATTCGTCGGTAAACACTTCGCATGCCAATAGGTCTTCCGTGTTCTGCAAACCATTCATTTGCAATGGACCTGGTAGTGGAGGCCAATAATCTTAGGCGGCGATCTTCACGGTCTGTTGTTCTACGGCGGCGTCCAGTGCCCCTTGCTCTTTGCGTACGGCCTTCTCGAAGCCATGCCTGACAACACCTAACCACAGTGTCTACACTTCTTTGCACTCTAACTGCAATTGCCCGAAAAGAAAGTCCAGCTTCCCGAAGTCCCACTATACGGCCCCTATCAAACTCACTAAGTTGACGAAATCGTACAGGTCTCCGTACTCTAGGCATCGTAACCGATCGTAAAGGATGTCAAGAACCAAAATCCGCCAACGTTGATTCTTTACTGCGGCTGAAATATTCATTTTTAAAGCATTAGTGAATTAAAAAAAAGCAGTATAAAAACCGGAATGTCCAACTGATAAGGCTGAACATTTTTTCACTTGTTATTTACAGTAAGATAAATACATTCACCAACTTTTATTAAAATAAAACCATTTAAACTGGGTGTTCGGATTTATATGTCACTTAGTATATTTATTGAATATTTTCTAAATATTGGAGATTTAATATTTCCCATTGATTGAAAAGTAAATACTCAATGAATATCAAAAAAGAAATATTGTATTTAAAATATTTAAAAGATATTGAATATATATTTAATAAAAATATTATATTACAAATATTTATTAAATATTTGTTTAAGAAAACAAATATTTAAGTAAGATATAAATATTATTAAATATTAGATAAATATTTAATGAATATTTCGTGCTATCGGCGTGGTGGCAACATGTCTTGTGTTCTATAAACATCCGACAATGCTATATTATCTTGGCACACCCTGTATTTCATAGCTGTTAATCAACTATCCCCTTACAGGTGCTTTGATTGCCAAAGTCACTACTTCGACTGCGAGTATGAGAAAAACGAACAAGAGAAAACGGACGGTGGCCTAGGGGCTGGAACCCCTATGTTCATCTCGGAAGTGATGCACGGTACCGCATGCACCATATTGTAATCGATGAGACTACTGGATATACCTAGTGAATTGTTAATATAATATTTCATAAATTTTCATCTACTCATCTAAATGCATTCAAACGAATGTGGGCAATAGAGATGAATTGTCAAAGCACCGTAGTCAAACATTTACACCATTTATAAGCATTTGAGGTTCATAAAACGAACATTGTGATGCTCAATAACCTATTGGTGATAGAAGGATCCTATAAATAGTATTTATCAAGATTTTTGACCGTCCAAATTCAAAACAAAGGTGTTACTTTCAAACATCATGTGTCTCCTTACTTGTATCCTTTCATAGTGACAAAAAATAAATATGTCCCATTTTTATCCTACTTGCTGGACGACTTGGAATCTTAAGTGAAAGTTTGAATATAATAATAAAACTTGTGTCACAGTTAAAAGCAAACAACAGCAAACAGGTGCTTTGGCAGCTCGGCAAGCCTTTCAATCAGATTTGTTATACAAATTCCCATATGCTACAGACTATTTTCATCTATTTTAAACGACAATTTAACTTGTTCTTAACATACTATTTACAGCGGAATTCGGAATTGTTTTACACCATTGTACATACTTTTATATGGTTATTGGATATTGTACGAGAAATGAGAATTTGTCTTAGAATATGTACTAGAAAATGGACCTAATACTTTCAGGTATTTAATAATACCTGAATTAAATAACTAAGGTGGGTGGGCGATAGAAACACACGCTAACAAGTAAACAGCTATTATTCCTTTATTTACTGGATAAATTAAGCAAATAGATTATCTAGTAATACTTACGTAACTTGGAAAATATTTTTCTTTTTTCCGAACAGGCTTGCAACGAACAAAGCTCCATACAAGGTCAGTATAATAATTAGTTAAAACTAACGTTGTCGTCAAAATGTATGTTTCGTATTCGTGTTTCATTAGAATCAATACTCAAAGAACATTTGAACACTATCATAAAACTAAGATTGTATTCGTAAAGCTATTATTAAAATAAGTTTAGTCTACAATTAGAAAAAAGGTAGAAAGTAAAAGTTTATTGATTTGAAAACGTACGTTTTGTTGTAAGCTAGGATCGCAATTTTAACATCGACGACCGACGTCGCACTGACAAGATAACGACGTAAGCGACCCGCCGCACAGAGGTCTGTAGCCCTGAAAAGCTGGCAAAAAATACAATCTCTACGGCATTTATACGATTTTCAGTATTTCAAGATCATATCAAGGATACTTTCAAAAAAAGCCGAGTAGTTGGTCGCAGCCGCATGTCATTTAGGTTTTTCGGCTCACCAAGTCCGAATTGGCCACTATAAGGGCATCTGGAGGTGATTTCAATGTCACCTCAAGGACAAATTCGAAATGAGTCCAGTATTAGAGCGCGCATGCGTGTCATATAGGTATTTGCGGTCATTGAGCCAAATCGGAGATAAGTTTGCTTCTAGTCATTCATTTAAGGGATATTTTAATGCCACTCAAAGAAGAAGTGAAGCTAAAAATACTAATCCATTCAATTCGCGGTGTACTTGGAATCAACAACAATGACAGGTATTTTCAAACAACACAAAACGGATGATGCAGAAGTTCTACAATTTTGCCATTAAAAAGTAGTGTTGAATGAGATACACCAAAAGCTTCCAGTGAAGGTAGTGTAAGCATAGTTCTGATTCCATGGCCAACTTATTGTTTATGGTTTTAACTTTAAGATAGGTAATGATTTTAATTCATCTTCGATACGTGTTTTTTCAATTCTTGTCAGGTTTTCGCATTGCATGGCTATCAATATGACTTTTCAATAATTGGCCTTACAAGAAGCATGGGCTTCCATGGCCCACCCACCTTATAATTGTTTCTTTACACCATCACATTAGTTCTACTTATATATTAGGTTACTATATTTTCTTAAGTCGACCAAAACTAGCACAATCATTGGATGTCTGTACAATTGCAACAAAAATCGGTACCGACCATAAAATTCATTGCTCCCTCGCCACCCCTTTTCTCTGGGTATTCAGTGATGACCTTGAATTTGACCTTTATCATAACCTTGAAGGTCAAATCAAAGTCAGTGCGAACATTGAAGCTATACTATGACGTAGGTATACGACAGAATTAACGTCAAGACAAGCTTCTTTGATGGTATTTCATACTCTTAATCCCAGAAATAGAACGGGATTTTACATTTAGCTATCACCTTACCTTTATTCTGAATGCCCTTGTCAATGTCACCATCGTTTTACTCAATTTCAGGATGTTTCTAAAGATAAACAAAAAATAAGGAGTCACATACAGCAAGCAGGAGCTTCAATTTCGCTGGCTATTTACTAGTGACCTTGACGGTCAAATCAAGGTCTAGATATTTTGCCTGGTAACCTATGAGCGCGGAAACTGACAGAGCGGATAATTTTACTTCTAGACACGACCTTGACCAAAAACGTTCAAAGTCAAAATAATCTTCACTCAGGGTCGTATCTAAACGTGAAATTTTGTGCTATACATTTCCGGAGTCAAACGCTACCATAGCATTGAAAAAATCGTCTTGATGTTGATTTGACCTTTAATAGCATGCCCAAGGTCAAATTGTAGGTCGCCATCACTGAAAAGCCAGTGCCAATAGGCACTCCTGAAAGATGTCCAAATAACCTGTCATTCCTGCAACATTTTTTATGTCAAATATCTCTGGTGACGCATATTTCTGATCAAAATAGAAGCTTTTAAGAAATTTAAATACTAACTAAGTGGGTGACAAGTTTTCATCAAAAGTCTCAAAAGAAACAATTTCCGTGAATTTACTTTTAGCCATGCATGCTTATAAGATTCATATAATCTATTTGTGTATAATTAAAAAATATATATTTTTATGTTATGTGTCTTTCAACGTGATAGCGTAGAGTAGATCTAGATCTCTATTAAACATACGTATTATGTGCTAGCATAAATGTGGTTCTCATCACTTATATGGACATACAAAAAGTAGGCTGAACAGTTTAAATAACATAAGGCCACAGGAATAAAGATAATTTAATTAAGCAACGAAGGAAATAACAGACATGTTGCAATATCGATTTGTTGTATCTAACCATACAGATTATTCAAACAAGATTCTGCATTTCACGATCAAATATGCCCAAACAGTTTCCGCCATTGTTTTTGTATCCTACTATAGAATAGCTACAGATGATTCGAGATATCTGAAGACTGCTTCAAGTTTTGTAAGATTAAATGGCACACTATTTGTAACACAATTCATCGAAGTAATGTAATCATACAGATTAGAATCATGTAATCATAGACGATATTGGAAGTGTCAGAATCGCTTTCTTCAAAACACATCAGAGGTGCTTTCCAGTGCCTCGTTTGGGTTATCGGAGTAACTCGGTGCAGGCTCTCCAACTCGAGCACTTGGTGCTGGTGCGCTCCGGTGCTGAACCCAGCGGCACCGGTGCCGTTCCCCCTCCACCTCGACCGCACAGCCGTCGCGACAGGGACAAACATATTAGCCGACTGTCCCTCGGGCGCGGGCCATTTCTTAATAGGACAAGACAAAGTGGACAGGTTTTTTAGCGTCTTAACGTGCATATTTTTTAAACGACGTTATTCAGTCCTGCATGGAAGAAGCCTATTTTTTGGAAAAGCAAAATGTTTAATTTGTCACACGGTATTGAGGCCAGCCCTTTTAAGTTCTGAAGCGGTAATTATTAATTTGGTCGTAGTTGATTATTATTAATGGTGTCGTAATGCAAGTTATATTGTTGCTTTGAAAATCGCACAAAGTGGGAGACCGTTTACTGACGGTGCACTTGTCAAAGAATGCTTAGTGGAGTGTGCAGAAATATTGTGCCCGTCTCCTGTAACCAACTTTGAGTCCGAGCAAACAATTTCTCGTCGGATACTTGAACTTGCTGCAAATTTAAAAGAACAACTGCGGGGAAATGTGCCCATTTTGTGGAGTATTCTATAGCTCTCGATGAAAGTAAAGACATTTCTGACCCAGCATAATTAGCTGTTTTCGTTAGAAGTATCGAAATAGTCTTTACTATCACCGACGAACTACTATAGTGTATTTAAACCCAAGATAGAATGGATGCGTGATTGCCAAAAGCAAGGACGGCGTACAGGGCCGCATTCAGTGCTATCTCCGAATGATGGACTACCACCAACGTGTTGTAAAACAAAGATGACAGCATTTAACAGAAACAGAAACTTAAAAAACTACTCAAATACACTTAACAACAACCAAGCAAGGTGAATACGAAAACACGAGCACGCAGTGATACACGCGACGGTCGGTGGCCTGAATGCAACTCTGCCTGCCCTGCCCCTGCCCCGCGCATTATTCCGCCAGGCGACCGCTTGAAATTTAATGGCGAATTGACCAATAAGAGGCGTTGTCCCCATCTGTTACCGAGAGATTACGCGCTAACTGTTATTATTTACATCTCATCTTGAATTTGGATTCAGTTTAGACGTTATCCCGCTCAAAGATACAATGGCCGGAGAAGATATTTTTGAGCTGTAGAATACACAATGAATGACATGGGTATACTACTCAAAAGTTTGCGTAGTGTTGTTACTGATGGAGCGCCAGCAATGTTATCGGAAGCACAAGGTTTTACTGGGCGAATGAAAATAAAAGAACGCGATGCTGGGCTACCTCCGATATCATCGGTACACTGCATATTACATCAGGAACAACTATGTGCAAAAAGCTTCCGTAATTTCAAATTAATTATGGATGTAGTAATAACATGTGTCAATTTCTGCAGAAAGGTCTCAACCACGGCAGTATTTTTCAAAGACCTGGAAGCAAGTTACGGTGACATACCCTTTTATTGTGCTACGCGCTGGTTAAGCTGCGCAAAAGTGCTAAAGATTTTTTTTTAAATCATTGACGACGTTGAGATGTTTATGCAAATGAGATTTTTATGACATCATCTTCAGTGCTTTTCGAAACAGAACCGCCGCAGTTCCAAATGGAGCTGATTAAGCTTCAATGCGATACGATCCTTAAGGATAGATACTACCACTACAATAGTAATTTAATTTCGTTTTATCAAGGTGTTAAGCAGCAAGATTTTCCCAAAACTCCTGCACTGGCCTTGGAAACTTGCTCCATGTTCGGTAGAACGTACTTCTGCGAGCAGATGTTTTCTTTGATGAATTTGAACAAAACTAAAAACAGGTCTTTGTCTGATGTATCCTTATAGACGATACTCAGAATTTCCACTGCTCAAGCCACTGTACCAAATATTAGAAAACTTGTTGAATCGAAACGCTGTCAAAGATCATCTTAAGAATAAATTTGTTTACGTCGAAATTATGAACATTATTTTATCACCCGCGCGTTGACTCGATCAGACTAATTCAAATGTCAATACGAATGTCACTGATTTTCCGTTGGGGCTGGGAGCCGGCGAAATTAAACCTTATCGCGGATTCGACTAACCTTAGTATCTAATTGGTTTTTAACTAAATTAACAAGAAGGGTTTAGTATATCGACTTGAAGATACAACGTGACGGTAGGATTTTACCATAACCTATACGTATATCAACGGTCATGACGTTTCATATTCATTTTACATATACTTTCAAACATCTAGTAGCCTGGGGTCAAACTGACAGACTCAAATGAGCTTTTAAATGCAAGCATGGAGCATACAAACATGATGTATTATTTTGATCTATTTGCATTGCCTGGTATAGCTTTCAGTGGGTACTACAGAAATTTCTGGCGGAAATCATACCATGTTTTTCCAAATGCGCCTAAAATTCCCATCAAACCGTGTAGGCTTCATTGGATTCGGTGATGACGGTAAAATTCTCATGTCACGCTGTATCTTTAAGTCGGTATGACAGGTACTTCTGGCAGGTCTTACTGAGCTCTTCTTGTTCATTTACTTAAAAACTACATATTATTACTAAATTAGTCGAATCCGCGATGAAGGTATACTCAATGCCACCAGCTCCCGGGTCATTTCTATTCGCAGGGTGCTATGGTTAGCACAATACCTTCCTCGCCATGCGTATGCCGCTGCCTAATCCC